CAGCAGCCAAAGCATATAAGAGACCCTTTTCGGAGGTGGGCAAGAGTTGCTATGACAACCACAGTGACGCTCTTTGAATCTCCTGTTGAATGGAAATTCAAGATTTGCAACATTTATCCTGTGTTTCCCCCCCCACACATAAACAAACATGAATGCACAGGGAGAAAATGAGCAGAACAAACAGAAATGAAACATCAGGGCTTTGTGTAAGAAGCCCGTCCTGCAGACGGAGATGGATGGACGAGAAATCCTGCGGAGGCTTTGACAAATAGAGTCGGAGCAGCTTGGTGGGCACACTTGCATAGGAGATATCGAGCAATCCATCTTCCAGAACGTACATCACCATTATCCATGCCGCACCGGTGCTCCTCTGGCATGCGACTAAGACAATCACTCTTTTAGCGCTTGTGTGCAGGAACATGACACGCCTGAACTTGTGCTTTGGACTTTGGCACAGCGACTTTTGTAAAGGCTCTTCCCAAAAAGACCTGAACAGAGAGGAGTTTCGCACACCGTTACGACCATTATTGATGCTATTTTTTTTCTAATTTGCTTATGGTCACTAAGGTGGCGGGCTTACCAGAGCCTATTCCAGCTGACTTTGGGCAATAGGCGGGGTACAACCTGAACTGGTTGCCATCCAATTGCAGGGCACACATAGACGAACAACACACTCACATGCACGGAAAATTTAGAGCGTTCCATTAACCTGCCATGGATGTTTTGGAATGTGGGAGGAAACTAGAGTACCTGGAGAAAACCCACGCAGGCACGGGGAGAACATGCAAACTCTACACAGGAAGGCCGGAATCCAGGAAATCAAACCCTGCACCTTTGCACTGAGGCGGACGTGCTAACCACCCTATTGAAATGATATCTTTAGTCAGTTTATATTCTATTTCTGCTTGAAAATTAAAAAAAAAAAAATTTGTTTTAGATTAAAAATAAATCTAAGTCAAATTTAATCCAGTCTGTTTTGAAGTGTGGAACGAGAGATATAACGCAAGAGAACTGATGACAAAAAAGTGCCCACGCATAACAGGTTCACATCACTGGAACACGAAAACTTTTAAATGATTTAATTTAATCAAACAAAGTGCTGAAAATCACTCGTGTTGCCGTAAGCGTCGTGGCAAGTTTGTGGTGCTTGATGCTCGCTTTTCCTGACGACCAATGACAGCATTAAGAGTGTTTATCAGCGCGATGGTGTTGGCGATCGCTAGGTTGGGGACGGGGGGGTGGGGGGGGGTCTCCTCCTTTTTCTTCTCTTCTGTTCTCTTCATCATGGCGTGTGCGGAGGCCCGCAGACGGCATGACGAGGAGAAGATGCGACAGATTGAAAGTGACAGGTTGACAAATGTGTCCACCGGAGGAGACACGGGAGAAGCCAATAACGAGAACGGGTGGGAGGATTACAAAGTCTGTGTGTATGCGTGTGTGTGTGTGTGTGTGTGTGTGTGTGTGTGTGTGTGTGTGTGTGTGTGTGTGTGTGTGTGTGTGTGGTTCCTTATAGGTATACAAGGTTCACTGTAGCGTGGGTGTTTTTGATTACCTTCCGTGGCCTACCCCATATAGAATGCAAACAAAGACGTGCGCTGGGTCGGCACTGCCTGCGACCTTTGCATATACTTAATCAGATACATACACACCGCGTCACGCTAGCGCAGCGGAAATTACACATGCTGATGGATGTGTGCATGAATGTATGCGTGCGTGCATACACGGCTGGAGGAAGCTTGAGGGATGCATCTTCCTGCCCATTTGTGCGTGCTCGCAGGTTCACGCTCAGGCTGCAGCGGGCCTCGCTCGCTACCTCAGCCAGCGCGGTGACATTTCTCCATAGCTCAGGCTGCTCCCGTGACATTTTCCCGGTGTCACATCAATCTTGATTTCGCCGCGTGTCACGTTGGCTTAAGTCCGCGCCTTTAATGTGTGATCTGCCCACGTGTTTTTTTTTTTTTTTTTTTTTTCCTTTTCTTGTTTTCCGAGAGGGGACAAGGCGAACCGGGCAAAAGGATGTGCGGCACAGCGATAAACGTCGCCTCGTCTGAAGTTGGCGAAAAGTCAATCACCGGAATATTATGCTGCGGGTGTTTATTGAGTCGAGCTGTCAGTCATCCTTGTTAGGGGAATAGTTGTTGTCATCTGGGCCGTGCTTTGCAAACTTTTACACGCAACAACGTGGAGAACTGGGACATTAATGACTCCAACGAGAACAACAAATGGACACGTGTTATGTAAAATTGACTTTTTAATGGCGTGCAGACAAATAGTTGGGCCCAAAGTGTAAAAGTGAAGAATAGAGCCGCGCCTACCAGCAGGCTAACTGCCTATTGTGTTATTGTTGGTTGATGCACTTCCTAACCCCGCCAATCAAAATCACGAGAATGTACAACTCATCAAAAATAAAAACGGTGGCAGACGCATTTTAGTGTCATCTCGATTGAAGCCAATCAAAAGCCCATCCATATTTATGTCATCATAAGCTTGTTGTATTTTTTCCACCCGTTCACTTGCTGCTCATATCGCTTTGATTGGGCTTGGAAAAGCGTGTGAAATATGCTCATTATATAAAACAGTCCAAGAGAGGTTATGTCACGAAAGTCAAGCGTGTAGTGATGTACCGGTCGCAAATGACCCCAACGCAAACGTTCACTTCAAAGGCAGTATCTCACTGAGCGGCGAAAGTTTGCGAGGGTCCTTTTTTTTTTTTTTTCCAGCAGAGTTCGTTCAAGGTCGCAAAGACGGTGAGGAAAACTGTTTGCAAGCATTAAAACACTTTGGGAAGGTCTGGGGAACGTCTTTGCAGATTTGTGTGACATTTGAATGGACCCTGGCCAGAAAAACAAAACAAAACAACGTTCTCAACGTGCAAACACACTTGCAAGTGAGATACGTGCTTAAGTAATTCGCCGTTTTGCGGCTTTTGCTTCACGCACTCACCTTTGATGTCCCACAGGTCGAAGTGTCGATTGCCGGAGGCTTCCGGGGCTAACGTGAAGTAGAAGTGATGTCCAGTCTGCGGCTCGTCTTTGTCCACCACACTGATGGTGTGAATTATCTACGGAGAGGACATGCGGAAGATGAAACAACTTGAATGAAGCTTGAATGGATTTTGGAGTCCAAAGGTTTTCAGTCAAAGTGCAAGCGAGGAGGTCGAAAGTCAGTCACGTATTTCTGAGGGAATCTGCCCAATCAAAAGACATATGACTACTCACTAAAAAGGCTTCCCGGAACATAAAGCGATGGCAATTTAAACTCGGGCTGTCGTATTCACTTAAGAGAGAAGCAAAATGCAACTGGGAGAGAGAAAATGAAAGGCCCAAAACCCGGTTGGGGTGTCGTCCGGCAATCTTCTATAAGAAGAGTGATCCCCGTTCAAAGATAAAACTCTACTGTGATCCAATTTGGAGAACTCTGCGTGGACACAATGAGGTGAGATACAATTTGCGGGGAGCTGAACAGACATCAAAACATCCCCGGAGAGGCTGGCCGACAATTCATCCTTCTTCTCTGCAGACGTCAACCGATCCTCTGCAGGGCTCGCATTCAATCGTCGGCCACAAAGTACTCGCTGCAATGTCTTCCATATGCCAAAATGAAGAAAGAACGCTACGCAAGTGTATATACACACACACACACACACACACACACACACACACACACACACACACACACACACACACAAATCAACAAATGTGCCAAGTCACAGGAAGCTCAAAGATGACAGACGGACATGCAAACCCACAGGTGTGAAACTCCGGTCCTCGTGGGTCCTCACGCTGCATGTTTTCGATATCTCCCTCCTCCAACACACCTGATGCAAATGATCGGCTGGCGGCAAGCTCTGAGAAGCCTGATATTGATCTTGATCACTTGAATCAGGCGTGTTGGGAGCGGGAAACGTCAAAAACATGCACAACAGTGGCCCTCAAGGACTGGACTTTGTCACCACTTTGTTAAGCACGTGTTGCTTACAATCCGTGTGCCATTTGGAAATCTCACGACGGTGCAAGCCAACACCTCGTTCGTCACCATTTACATTTCTCACCAGGGTTGAAGAAGCATTCGGTGTTTATACTCTGTTTATGGTATCGCGGAGAACTTATTTTCACATTTACGCAGCCCATGGTCAAAAATTCAGGCGAGCATGTCGACTGTGACCGGAAGCACAAAAAAAAAAGTGTGAGATTGAAAATGGGGTTGGTTCAGAGAAAGTAAAGGAAAATAATGCAATTCAACCAAAGTGAAGGACGATCGCTGTCTGGCCATCCCCAGATGCTCTGCGTTCGGTCATCGACATCGTTTACGGCCTCGTCTTGCCCTCAAAGATTTTTTATTTTAATTTTTCCCTCCACCCATCTGAATGTGCCAAGTTGGTTGATTTCTGCACCAGAGCTGACTGAAATACACTGTCTGACGTTTCATTAAGCCGCAGCCTTTCCCAGTAGACCGAACGGATTGGCATTTAACCAGAGGGCGAGTGCGATTGATGATTTAATGGCAACTGATCCGGCGCCAGCTGCGTTAAAACCAGCTTTGCGGACCGCTACACAGCCAAGCACCTTTCTCTTATGAAGACGTTTGGAAAACACTTTAATAAACGTGAAAGTCCCACACTGCAAGCCAATTTTTTTTTTTTTTTGTGTGTGATCTCTCACGCACAAACAAACAAAACTCCAGCACTCCTCTGTGATCCATACAAGCTCAAAAGTCTCTGTCAAAACAGATCTCATCTTCTCATCATTCTCCAAAGCCCTTTCAGGTCGGTGCGATGTTCAAGTCAAAAAGTGGGCGGGGGTGGCAGCGGGGGTAGGCATCATAAGCAGAGGACTAATATGTCTGAAGCAATGTATGACGTGAGCCTTGATCGTCAAGAGTCCTCAGCAGGGGCACTCCTCTCAAGGCGCCGTCTGCGGGTGAAGCCGAACTTGCTGCGAGGAAAACCACCACCATTCCGAGCAAGGTTGCATAGAAATTTTTAATGAGCCGCATAAATTTCCCTGCAGTGTTTCAATAAAACATGATGAGAAAACTCTACACTGAAATAACTTTTTTTTTTTTTAATTGACTCAATTTTATTTCATCAAGTGAGTAAAATCATTTGGATCCTGTGACATTATACATCGACTTAAAAGATGTACCTGCATCCAAATGAATTTATTTTGCGCAACCGCTTGACGAAAGAAAATGGATTCCTAGCTATAGATGACACGGTTGGTTCGATGAGTTTTTTCGCCCCGTGCGCTGCGAGCTACGGGAAGAGGAGGCCAAATGCGGGTTGCGTGGGAGTTTATCGAGCAGCTCGCGTAGCTCCCTCAAGCACAATCACCTAATTAGATTTCTATCCGCCGCTCCCCTTTCATGACCCTCTTAAATCTCCTCATTCGGTTGGAACGCTTGAGGGGGGAGACTTTCCCAAAAGTCCAGCCCGCCTGCTCGGGACCCGTCTGACCGCTCAAGGTTGCGAGAAGAAGGGAAGGCGTTTATAAAAAAATAATAAATAAAACGCAAGCCATCAAATGATTAAGGGACATTCATTTCTGAAGCCTTTTGTCAATATGATCTCGAGTGGCAGGGTTAAAAGAATGAACCGTTCCAAAGTCAAGTCAAAATTTATACAGCCCTTAATCGCAAAAAGTCACAAAGGCTACATGCTAAGCTACACCAAGTAAGAACAGCTAATGCCACAAACAGTCTTGTTAGCCCTGAAACCATCAGCTTCTGTGGCTTTTAGTCTTATCTGGAAAAAAAATACATACAGTTAAGGTGTATGTTTAGAGTTATTTTGGGCTAATTTAGCAATTTGGGCTTTGCCAGCTCATGATTTTTTTCCAAGCGAGGAAAATGCTCTTTTGCTAACATGTCCAGCAATTCGTTTTTCTTCTCAGTACCTCCTTGAGATTTGAACCTCGAACCTCTGATGTGAGCCGAAACGTGCTAGCCACAGAAATGATGGTTCAAAACGTTTCATGCATGTTAAGCAGGAACATAAAAATTCTGTTCAGGCTAATTTATTTTGTTTGCTTGGGTTAGACTTTGGGGTGAGGGCAAAATGGGGGCAGTACCCCCCCCCCCCCCGAATCTGGCCAGTGGAGCTCGTTGAATAAAGCTTGTTGTGGGTGCCAGCTGTCAGCCCATTTGTAAGGCACATTAAAAGCGAAATTACTTTTAGGCATAAAGCTCAAAGTGCACTGGGCAGAAAAGCAGAAAAGTTGCGACAGAGAGAGAGAGAGAGAGAGAGAGAGAGAGAGAGAGAGAGAGAGAGAAAATGTGACTTTTGCAGTAGTTAAAGGGCTTGCCATGCCTTTAGCTTGAAAAATGTAACTGCTCAGCCGCAGAGAATGTGAAAAATGATGTTGTAGCATTGGGAGAAAAGTTTTATCCTTGACATTCATCAAATGAATAGGAAAACAACATACTAGCGACAGACAATAAACGCCCATGAGTCTGAAATTTGGAAAGCAATTTTTTTCTCTCACTCACTTGACAATCTGAAAAAAAAAAAAAAAAAAAAGAATCAAGGCTCCTGGACTTAGTTAGTCAAAGATATTCACCTTTAACCCCCAAAGCTTTTTCAGTTCTATATTTTCTGATGAGGAGTCACCCTGTTTATGACTCTGGTGGGTGGGCCCCATGGGGGGACCATTCTGCAGAGCAACCGGTCAGTCAAAACAAGTCTTCCCTTGGAATGAGAACATCTTTGCGGGAAAGAGATGTCAGGCACGTAGAACAATTTCCTGATATCCCGCCACCCAAGGACCGTCTTTTACACCGAAATATTTTCAACTTTTCAACCTTTTGGAGTCCAGCGCGCCTCAATGTAACCTTTGCCGATGAACCCGACCCGGATGACTGAGAACCTACCCCCGCCGATACTCACTCGACCGGCTCTGACTCCCAAAGTCTTGCGAGAACATTGACAAAAAGCCCACCTAATGTCACCGTCAAAGACGGCACACCCTGCAGACGCAGACTAGCGATCGAGTCGCTCTTTGTGCCGCACTCCTGAAGACAGTCTCGGCCCATTTGCAGCGACAACATGGATGCCAGGAGCACCCTTCTGTGGAAAAGTTTGGAAACTCGTCGCGGGCAATTTGACAGTTGATTTGGTTTGCGTTGATGTGAAATACAGCAGGTGTTGTGTGGGCTCTAATACATTCTGCCAGCGTCTCGGGCCTCAGACGCTCGGCACTCAGCAAAAGCGGCGTGGACGCTTTGAAACGTGGATGTATTCATTTATTTTGGTTTTTCGCAGTAGCCAGATGGAATGGAGAGGAGCGAACATTCTCGGGGTGCCGTCAGGCAAGGAGGAGATGCTCACCGCATTGAATTTGACTTTTACTTGAAGCGAAGGAAATATTTTCTTCATTTATGAAGACATTCAATCAGATGTTGGCCTTTTGAGATTCCCAAAGAATGCTGGCAGATTGTTATGTTTCAACGTTGGTCACTCATTCAAAAGGAAAAATACAGTCGAAGGTTGAACACTGGGATTTATCCTCAGGAATGAATGAAAACCAAATGAACAGCCTCATAAAACTGTCATTGTAAAGCCTGCTCATTGTAATCGCAATGTCTGATACAGCTTCAGAGCATTCGTAATAGTGTGTCCATACATTTTCGATACTCATCAGGGTTGAAACTGAAACACATTTATTTTTGTGAAAGCTAACACTTTGTTTTTCTTTTTACCCCCCAATTTTGCTGCTGTAGACTGTAAATTTCCCCAGTGTGGGACAAATAAAGAATATCTTATCTTATCTAATAC